AAATTTTTTTTTTTTTTTTAACGTTTATTTATTTTTTTTGGGACAGAGAGAGACAGAGCATGAACGGGGGAGGGGCAGAGAGAGAGGGAGACACAGAATCAGAAACAGGCTCCAGGCTCTGAGCCATCAGCCCAGAGCCCGACGCGGGGCTCGAACTCACGGACCGCGAGATCGTGACCTGGCTGAAGTCGGACGCTTAACCGACTGCGCCACCCAGGCGCCCCGCCTCTCTCTTAAAAATAAACAACCATTTAAAAAAAGAACGTCTCTTCAAAAAATGGTGTTGGGAAAACTGGACAGTAACATGCTAAAGAATAAAACTGGACCACTTTCTTACACCATACACAAAAATAAATTCAAAATGGATTAAAGACCTAAATGTGAGACCTGAAACCATAAAAATCTTAGGAGAGAACACAGGCAGTTAACTTCTTTAACACTGGCCACGGCAACTTCTTTCTAGGTATGTCTCCAGAGGCAAGGGAAACAAAATAAAAAATAAACTATTGGGACTATACTAAAATAACAAACTTCTACACAATGAAGGAATCAATCAACAAAACCAAAAGGCAACCTAAGAAATGGGAGACGGTATTTGCAAATGACATATCTGATAAAGGGCTAGTATCCACAATACACAAAGAACTTATAATACTCAATACCCAAAAAATGAATAATCCAATTAAAAATGGACAGAACATGAATAGACAGTTTTCCAAAGAAGACGTACAGATGGCCAAAACACATGAAAAGATGCTCAGTATCACTCATCTACAGGGAAATGCAAATCAAAACTACAATGAGATATCACTCACACCTGTCAGAATAGCTAAAATCAACAACACAGGAAACAACAACAGGTATTGGCGAGGATGTGGAGAAAAAGGAACCTGTTTGCACTGTTGGTGGGAATGCAAACTGGTGCAGCCACTGTAGGAAATAGTATGGAGATTCCTCAAAAAGTTAAAAATAGAACTACTCTGGGGTGCCTGGGTGGCTCAGTCGGTTGAGCGTCTGACTTCAGCTCAGGTCATGATCTCACAGTTCATGAGTTCAAGCCCCGTGTCTGGCTCTGTGCTGACAGCTTGAAGCCTGGAGACTGCTTTGGATTCTGTGTCTCCCTCTCTCTCTGTCCCTCCCCAACTCGTGCTCTATCTCTCTCTCTCTCAAAAATAAACAAACATTAAAAAAAAAATTAAAAAAAAAAAACAGAACTACTCTGTGATGCAGCAATTGAACTACGAGGTGTTTACCCAAAGAACACAAAAATACTAATTCAAAGGGATACATGCACCCCAATGTTTACATTATAATTATAATAGCCAAATTATGGAAACAGTTCAAGTGTCCATCAATTGATGAATGGATAAAGAAGTATACACACACCACACACCCCATTAAATATTATTCAGCCTTAAAAAAGAATGAAATGTTGCCATTTGCAACAACATGGACGGAGCTAGAGAGTATTATGTTAAACAAAATTACTCTGAGAAAGATAAATACTGTATGATTTCACTCATATCTGGAATTCAAAAAACAAATAAGCAAAGGAGGGAAAAAAGAGTGAGAGGCAAACCAAAAAACAGACTCTTGACCATAGAGAACAAAATGATGGTTACCAGAGGGGTTGGGGGAGAGGGGGGTTGGGTTAAATGGATAATGGGGATTAAGGAGTGCACTTGTGATGAGCACTGGGTGATATATGGAAGTGTTGAATACTCCTGAAACTAATACACTGTATGTAAACTAAAAACTTAAAAAAAAAAAAAA